AATAATTATAATTAGATACAAGCAAAAAGTGTTACAAATTGTATATGGTTTATAGAGTGAGGTTATTTCAATATAAATATAAAAACCCTCTCAACATGTTTAGAGACTTAAAAATATGTCGCGCTTCATTAACCTAAAATATTTTAAAGATAATATCAGATAAAGTATGATATTTAATAAGAACCCTATAAGTAATAACTTCATAGCTAAATCAAATACAAAACAATTTATCTGTGCTAAAGGTAGCTCTATATTCTAGTTAATATCTGAGACATCAAAGCTTTCCAGAAGAAAGTAATCAAGTTACGGGGAGACTATGAAACATTTTTTTTCGATAATTTGAAATTTTTTCTAGCCCACTATTCCAGATCAAACCTTCTGACGTAAGTTTATGAAGATAATTCGCACACTAAAGGCATAGAGTCTGTCAGAATAAAGAAAGTCATTAGCTATACTACATGGGAGCTGGTGTAATTTGTTGACCAATTTCACACATTTTCGACATTGAGTATATTTTACAAGTACATAATAACCGATATATGTATATGGCATAAAGTCAACCGGAAGTTTGAAACTTATTATATTAGCTATATGGAGATTATGGGAATTATTGACTCGCTTTTACCCATTTATGACACGAGAGCACATAACTATTGGGAAATGCTTTTAATAATATTATATATTCCTCAGAGTGAACAAGATTCTTGGTAAAGAGTCAGCCATAGCAAGTGGTATCATCATATTGGGTATGGGCCTGCTTGAATAGTTATGTGCGATGGTCCCGTAGCCGATTAAGTGTCTCCGAAAAATGTGTCTGGCGGTGAGGAAGCTTATATCTCTGAAACTATTTGCCGGATCAACTTGAACATTTTGGAGAATATTTTCAAATATATAATATGTAAATTTGATTTTTTGCAATTCGCAGGTGAATGAGTAGAGAAGGCGCAAATGTTGAAAATACAACTTCAACTCTTTTGAAATACACCACGCAATGATCGAAACGGAGAAAATGCTATAAATAGACACAATTAATGTTCTTAAATGAATTATGCGCATGCTGATTTGCATTTGCATATTACCAAAAAATCATAATTTTTGTAATTTAAATAATCCTTCAAATTATATAATATAATATATATTCTTTATTCATTAACATTCTCTGCTTCTACTGAACTTCATTAACAGCGCCCTCTGTTTGTGGATTACGAAAATTTTTGAGATTCAGTCAAGTTTCTCACTAAGAAACATAAATCCAAAACGACTAATCGACTATACAACTTTAGTTTGTCACAAAACAGTACTTATGCGCCACGCTTCACATAAACCAAATCTTCGCCTAATTGTAGGCTAAAAGACATTTTTGATATCACAATATTCATTTCAATATTTTGCCTTGATAAATTAAGTAAATATGGCAACGATTTGCTGGCAAACTGTGTGTAGAGCGTATGTTTATTATTATAGTATTTGTTTATTATTATATTGTTGTAAATTAATTTCATGTAGAGAAAACAAGTAGACAATGCAGAAATTAATAATACTGAGCCGTAGAAAATTCGTACTTTTCCCTTTAGTTCGCAAAAAATATACACATATGTATGTACAAATCCCCACAAACTTAAGTGAAACACTACTGTTGTAACTTTTTATAATTCTTTGACACATTTTGATTTGATTTTTGAGAGTCTAGTGTTTTTTTTTAAGTCTAGTGATGGTCTGTAAACCTGGGTGACCAAGCCACAACCACTTTTCCATTTACAGAAAAATTAATGCAACTTTTTTGATACTAAATATATTTTATTTTCCATTCAAAATGTTTACATTGCCTTTGTAAATTATGCTTACACTATTTGTGGGTACATAAAATACAAAATGTTTATATATTTTAATATATTCATATACCTTATTCACATACATACATACAATTTATATATATATGTGTAACGTATGTATCTATGTGTTGTTTATAGATTTGATAGTCATACGCAAAAAAAAAAAAATTTAAGACATTTTGAGCATTGAAAGGATCAACTAATACTATGATAAAACTAATATATATATATATATATATATATATATTTATATATAAGGGATCAAATATACAAGTTTTAATATTTATTATTCATTTATATTTACATAAGTTTATATTTCTTATTAAATTTGTTTAATTAAATTGTAATTTGTCCCATAACCTTCAATGTACACTTTTATTTAGCTATGAAAGGTGTAATTTTAGTTGCTAATAAAAAAAATTTAATTATGTAGGTAGTCTCAGGCTGCCTAAATATTTTGCAGAATTTTTTCAAAATATTATATATCTTTTAATTAAAGATAGTGGGAAAAATATATAAAGCCAAAATAAAAATTATAATAAATATAAGTAAGTGTTGATTTTAAACAGTTATTAATAAAAAATAATGAAAAAAGTGTATTGCCATACTTTCTCACTTATGCATTAATTGGTATCGTTACAAAACTTTTTTCTCGCATGACATTTTTTTTGTAAACCATGCATTTGCTTAAATTGCATTGAAGGTATTCATTGCAACTTTAAATTACAGATTCAATTAAACTATTACTTTCTTATCTACTACTGAATATTAACAATGGCATTTAACTTACTTTAAATTCTTTCTGTGTAATTTCTTTTTTTATTCTAAGCATATATTTTTCAATTTACTGTAAAACGAACTTTGAAAAATATAAAATATAATAATTATTTAAAATAAAAATTCAATGTTTACATTTGTCAAATTTTACTAAGCTAATTAATTTTATTATGTAAACAATAATCTCGTAAATATTTAGCGATGTAAAGGATTCATAAACGTGTCTTGTATGGATGTCATTTTGCGCTTAAGTGCGATTAAGTGATTTGCCTTTAAATAAAAAAATTATGCAGTGTAATTGAAAAAACTTGATAAAACTTGCTTCTAGTTCGAAAGTATAATCCTAAAAAATAAAATAATATTAAGAAGTTAAAAAAGTCGTGACAAATATTAAAAATAAAAAAAAATTTAAATAAAATACTTTATTTCAAATATTCTAGAAACATTTATTTTTTAATTTAAAATTTCAGCTTTTTTAGAATTTCTTCAGAAGTTCAGAAAATTATAATAAAATTAAGAAATTAAAAAACGATATTGCAGCTAATATTTAATTTTTTCTCTTATAAAAAATTTTCAAAAAATTATAATTTGTAAATTAAAGTATTCAATTCTGGCAATTTTAGAATTTCTCTAAAAAATCTAGAACAAATAACTGAAACTATTTTAAAGAAATTAAATAAAAAAATTTTTAATTCGGCATAAAATTCTCTAAAAGTAACTGAAAGAAATCCATACAAAAAAAATTTGCTTTATTAACGGCACTTAATTTTTTGTACAGCGTTATGCAACATTCCACTTTTCCACATTGTTTAAAAACTTTCTCAAAGTAAAATTGAATATAAATAAACAAACTATAGCGCATTAAGATGGATCAAATATGCATAGTTCTCGAACGGATTAAGTTAGCAACTTAATTCTAGCAATTTGTTAAATTAGCATAAGTCGACTTTAGTTAATAAGTGTGTTTTTATCTTAAAGAACACCTTAGAGTTGGCAGTTGTAATTTATGTCGAAACAAAAACAAGAGATTTGTAAAGATTTGTGAAAGGAACCATAATGCTAAATTAATTTATGTTTTTTTACGCATTGCTATAGATACTTTGTTATTGAAATAGTAAAACGCTCTAACCGATTTTGATATACCGAATTTATTTATTTACGAGGGTGATTTTATGCGGCAGCGAATTGTGTTATATACATATGTAATGTGTCCCTGCTACCAAAATTTAAAAATAAAATAAATTCATTAAAAATTATTTTACGTTCATCTAAAAAAAAAAAATAAGAAATCATAAAAGTACTATTTAATGTAATTAAGTGCTTCAGTTTCACAGGGCGTATACGTAACATTTATGTTTAGAGGAAATTTTTTTGTCGGTATTGAGCGGTTTTGGCTGTATCTTTGCACTAAAATTCATCGACTTTCTATACATATGTATGGTATATCGGTTTCTGTGAACTTTTTACGCCAAAATTTTGACTCTAAATAGCGTATATTTATTTTGATAGCTACATATGCACATATAAGTATATATTTCTGAGTGAATTTTAAAAACTGAAATTAAAGTAGAATTATAAGCAGAAAAATAATGAACCGTTACTCTTAATTAACTGTACTTACANTGACTTAAGAAGATTTTGCTTTAAGTACATTTAAATAGATATTTTATAAGAAAATTAAATGCTTTTTACAAAATTAAGTAATTGAAGACATTTTTGAGTAAAAGGTGCGCAGTACAAAAGATTAGCTTGGTTAAATATTTGAAAATTTTCGAAAAAAATATTTCCATTTTCAGCTTGTTTTATATTTTTGCATATCTTGAAAATAATAATAATAAGATAATTATTTTTCTATAAAATAGAAGAAGAGCAAGCAAGCGCTTTAAGAATGAACATTATAAAATATGTTTTAGAAATCTTGTTATTGCTATTTCTTTATATGCTTACCATATTTACGTCTGTATATGTATACGTGATCATAGTAAATACTAATTATTTTGCTGCTAAATTTTTACATTTTTAGCTCAATATTAACGTTATGCATGTTTTGCAATAATCTACAATAACATTGTTTCGATATGTATGGGTTTTGTATATATACTCTTATACATTGCCACTCAGTTTCAAACATAAGCTTACAATTAGTTAATAAATGTTGCATACAAGTTATGCATATATTATTTCTTATATTCTCTGTGTTGCATAAAAAACGTGAGCATAAACATATAAACACACATGGAATGCTACATATGTGAAGTACTTATGTCAGTACATAGAGCAAAGTCATAGATATACATATGTATATGGCTATGTGTACGATATTTATTTTTTATTGTTGTGCTTCAGATTCCTCCCTATTCGCTTATCAATCCCATTCGCCAATGTACATGGTGCGCGGTGTGGGCACATAGCCACGTGTTGGCAACGGCAAGCGTCCATAGATGTGATTGTATGGTGATTCAACCAAGTCAGCATCTGCAAACGAAAATATTACTAGTAAAACTGAACTCAACGAAGCTCTAAAAAAATATTTTAAAAAATATTTGTATATAAACAACAGCAGTAATTGGGAATGTGTAGGTGAAAGCATAAATGCTTTATTGTTTTACTTGTGTGGGGCTTTTTCTTTTATAAAGGAAGGGATAACTACAAGTGTCTAAGTCCCAGTCCCGGTCCAGGTTCGCCAAATTATTGTTTATGCATTTATAAAGTTATTCTTTAGTAAATATAAATAAAGTTTGTAAACATATTGTAATTTCTAAAAAAAATCACTTTAATCAAACTAAATATATCAATATATTTAAAAAAATTGTGCTCAGAGCATCATTTTTTTTTATAATTTTTCATTATATTTACAATATTTTATACATACACATATTTCTGAACTTTCTATTCTGTCCATTATTATTAAAGACGGTTTGATCTATCTTTATCGCCCTAATTGAGGCAATTAGCAAAATTTTCTGTTACGCAGAAGGTAGACAATTTGTGTATTGACTTTTAATTGAGTCAATTAGCACTTTTTCGTATATGCAAATCCTAAAATTTACTGTTAATTGCGTCACCTTTTAATTCTTCTCATAAGTTGAATAAGTATTTTCTTTCCATATGAAGAAGAACTATTTGTTTGACTATTAATTGTGGTTGGCAGTTTTATCTAAATATAGAAGGAGAACAGATTTTTAATTGAGTGAATATTCTTCCAGACAATTTGTTTATTGACTCTTAATCTAGTTAATTAGTATTTTCATTATTGGAGTCAATTACAATAGTAAATTTTTTTCTATAAGTTGAAGGTGCAAAATTTGTTTATTGAATCTTGATTGAGTCAATTAATAGTTTCATCGTATAAACTGAAGGTTGACGGTTTGTTTATTGACTTTTAATAAAGTCAATTATTAAATTATGACTATAAGCTGAAGGTAGAAATTTTGTTCATTGAATCTTAATTGAAGGTGAAAGATTTTTATTAATTTACTCTTAATTGAGTCAATTTGTAATTTCTTATTATATGTATTTTCAAATAGTTATATTTTGGAGTCAAATTTTTATAAGCAAAACAATTTCTTTTTATCTCATAATGTTTTTCTGAACTGCTGCCAACTGTAAATGAATCTGCAACTATAAATATATAAAAAAGATTCAAACACTACCAAAACCAAAAAACAATACCAAAACCTAAATAAATAGTACGAGAACAGTAGACGGATGGAGTCAAACCTATTTTATAATTGGTATTTTCTTGCTTAAACTCAATTTTCGTTCATTTCGTTCAGTTTTCAGCGATACTGGGTGGTTCGGTTGTTGTTACTGTTGTGGTTGTTCGATTGAGGGCAGTCAGGTCTCGGTGCAATGGACTTGTCAAGACGTTCAACTAGCAGCAGTTGTTGCACGGTCCCGCACAAGCACTTTATATAAGTTAATATTGTTTTTGTAGCATTTAATGCTGCTCAGTAGTCGAGTATTTGAATTCGTTTCAGACTCAAACTGCGCGGTTTGCGCGGCTTTAGATAGCCATAAATGGATTCCATATCGCTGGCGTCCACGCGACTATCCGATCGACTGAGACGGTTTTGCTGTCCGTGTTTTTGGGATTGTTGTTGTTGTAGCGTTTCAAAATTAGGCCTTTTAAACATTTGCTGTTCCCTGCCTGTATTGACATTAGTTGTTGTTACATTAGTGTTCTTAACGCCATTGTTGTTGTTGCATTTGCTATTGTTAAACATGAAATTCCTATTCTCCTTGCTGTTATTGTTGTTGTTATCTAGTTTATTAATTTGAGCCAGCGCCACATCGTTTGGTACTTTCGCCACTTGCTCATAGTTATTCAAGTATTGTTGTTGCTTTTGTTTTTGTTTGAGTTCAGCCTGGAGCTTCAGCTTCTGCTGTTGCTGCTGACGCTTTTGATTGTGCGCTTTCATTTCGAACGCTGCTGTGGTAGCGGCAACAATGCTGCCGCCCAGCTGTTTAATGGCTGAGGACATTGTTGGCGTTGTTGCATTTGATTTTGCTGCTGTTGTTGGCATTTTTGTATTTTCTGACGCTAATTCATTGTCTACAACAAGTTGATCACTACTGCAATTGCTGTTTTTCCTACCGCGCCAGCATGGCGGCGGCAACATTGGCTTCTCTGGCGACGCCGCGTCATCTACTCTGTGCTTATGTGGCATTTGCATACCCAGTTTGTCGCGCTGAGAGTGTAGCAACTTCGGTTGTTGCAATTCGTCTATGTCTTTTCCATGACCTCTCCTGTTCTCATGCTCAATGCGTCCGCGTCTCATATTAAGCGCGTTTAGTTGCGCATGAGCTTCCCTGCTGCGTAGGCGATCGTAGAGCATGGTGGTAGATGGCGCTTTCACGATGCGCTTGCGCCCACCGTACATATAAAGTGAACCCTCCTCATTCGGTTGCTCGAAGAAACTTTCGATTGAGAGAGATTTGTGCCGCAACAACGCGGGAGAATGCACAAAACCCGATCTGTTATCGGCGCTGACGCGTTCTCCATCAACCTGCATTTCATCGACGTCTGTTCGCTCAAAGGGTGATTGTGGCGGTGATGGTGAACCCAATTGCCGTTGTCTGTTTGTGTAGCGGTCAAACTGTGTAGTATCCCAGTCTGTCTCGTCGGCGGTGTACAAGCAGTCACCGTAGCGTCGCGTTTGCATAGCGTATTCGTTATATGTTTTCTTTTTGCCAGCAATATGGTCATGCGATTCTTTTCTGTCTTGCGCTTTCTGTTTGCGTTCATTATAATATGGCGCGGCGTCTTTGCGTCGGTAGTCGCAATTATTTACATAATGCGGCGAATCTACGTTCTCGTGTGTGTTAAAATTTTCTGCGTTGCGCGCGCCTCCAACGCCATAACAGCTTTCCACTACATCCGCTTCCCCGAAACCCTCGTCGTAGGTGCAGGTATCACTGGGCGCTAAATAACGATTGCGCCGAGGATTTAAAAATGACACGTCGCTTTCGCTACACCATTTCACCAAATTTACACCGCTTTGTCCAAGCGCTTTGTTTCGCCCTACACCAAGAGCTTCGCGTTTTTCATCATTAGCGCCATCAAGGTCAGCGCTGTTGTTCAGACGCGACGCACGCATTTGTGCTGCAAGCAACGGTGGTAGTGGTGGTGGTGGCGGCGGCCGCGGTATTTCCGCCAAACTGCCGCTTAACCGCTGGTGCAAACGCAATTGCTGCTGACTGAGGCTGCGCGGTGGCCGCGCCGGCTGCTCTACGCCGAACAATGGCGCGAGTGTATAGCAGCTCACGCAATTGCAATTGCTGCCAACTGAATTACTTGCATCTCGTCGCGTACGACTCGTACGGAAACGGTGCGGCGAAAGCGTTTGCTGCAATTCGCGTGTAAGGCGCCGAAAGCGCGAGCGACTTGAGCGCGCGTTGGAAGTCAGTGCAGTTGGCTGCGCATCTGCATAGAGTTGGTCGGGGTCGGGGTAGTCTGTATCAGTGTGCAGTGGCGCATAACAGTCTCGCATATTCGGCGGTAATTGGCGACGCGCACAATTGCGGTTGTGATGACGATGGTTGTGGTGATGTTTGTTGTTGCGCTCTAGCGACTCTTCCTGCTCGTGATGGTGGTGGTGATGGCGCTGTCGCGTTTGTTCTAAATTCTGAAAGTGATGTTGGCGCTGTCTCTCCTGCTGTTGTTGCTGTACGCTAAAGTATATGTTATTGTTATGGTTTTTGTTTTTGTTATTGTTGCTGTTGTTAAGTACGTGTTCGTGTTCATGTCCGTCCACGCCATGTGCTGTGTCCGCTGGCAGGCGCATGGCCGCCGCGGCAGACAACATCTGTGGCAGTGCATTGTGCAGTTGTTGTTGTTGTAGTTGTTGTGCTTGTGCCTGTACTTGTGATTGTGATAGTGCTTGTGCTTGTAAGGTTACTTGTTGTGCCTGTGCTTGATTCATTTGATTCTTGTTTTTGTTCTTGTTCTTTTTATTGTTCTTGTTGTTGTTGTTCTGATGGTCCATGAGAAAATTCGCAGTCACGGCATTGAACTGCTGCTGCTGCTGCTGCTGACAACCAATACTACTACTATCATAAATACCTATGCCGCTTTCGAAGCTGCGCGCCTGCCACACTGGATGCTGCGGCACGTGATGCTGTTGATGGTGCGCAGCCGCTGCTGGGTGATGATGATGCACGGCGTGTGCCGCAGCGGCGGCCATCAACTGTTGCTGCTGAATGTGGTGTGGATGCATGTGCGGTGGCGGCTGTGGTGCTGCCACATGCATCGCATGCAAATTGGGCGCGGTCATCGACATGTGGATCATGGAGTTCTTCTTCTGGCTGAGTGTGTTCATGCTGCTGCCGTTGCTGTTGCCATTCGTGTTGCCAGTGTTGCCATTAACCAGAGTGCCGTTGGTGGCATGCTCCTTGTGTTCTTTGCTAGATTTGGAGGTCTTCACGAAGTTTGGTACTCGTGCGCGTAAACCGCAATAGTAAGGATCATCTGGAATAAAATTCGAGAGCGAGTTGTAATTGCAGACTTGAGTATTGTTCAGGGATATCATATTTACAGTCCTTTGCGTACAACATACCATATTTTTTGTTGTCTTTGCCTTTGTCAGATTTGCCACGTGACAATTTGATTCTAGTATCCACCTCGATGTCATCGTAATCAGGCTAAAAAAGTAAGAATTATAAAAATTAAAATATGGAATATGGAATTTAGATATTAATTACATCAACGGAAATATAATTATATGATAGTAGTAAATATTGGGGAGCTAAACAATCAATTTCGATAAAATCAGTGCGGTTTTAAGTTTACACCAACAAGCGTAGTGGATTTCTAGTTACTACATAAATATAAGCTCCTATAACTAATTATAGCGAAACTTGTGTAGCATAAAAAATTTTTTTGCAGAATCGCCACATTAATATTTTTATACTCTTAATAGGGTATATTAAGTTTGCCACGATGGAGACCCTAAAAAATATATATCTGGAAGCCGAAGAAATGCTGAGTAAGAGTCGATAAAAAATGGAACTGTTCTGGAAAGTTATGGAATTATATTTGGAATATATATGTACGACTGTTTTTTGGATAGAGAAATTTGCACTTCATGTTTATTTTTATCTCAAACGTGCGCTAGGTGGCGCTGTAAGCCAATTTTTTTGCTAGCTTTCATGATTTCTCAGCAAAAAAATAGGAAAATCGCCTCATGGCAGCTTATTTCACAATTAGAGTGTATCAACAGGTGAAGCACAAATGCGTTAACAATTTATTAGTTTCATAACATAATTACTTTATCAACATAACATGCTATTAACAACAAAAATAGCAACAATGCTGCAGCATTTACATAAACTCTTCTATATATTTATATACCGATTTGCACATATATGCTCTAAATATTTGCATTACCTTGCGATATCGATATTGTATGTGTGTAAGTACTTGTCAGTGTGCGCCTGCGCAATAAATGCAACATTCTTCGCATATTAATTACACGCGATATCGAGCGATAAATGCAGTTATTTTGACACACTATCAACCAATAACACTTACATATGTATGTGTGTGTATGAATTGTAATTACATATGCACATAAATTTAATTATATGTGTGTGTGCGAGAGTATGTACTCAAAGAACGGGTTTTGCATTTCGAAATTATTCCACTGATTATTGTATTTAACTGGCGTTGTAATGAAAATGGTGGCAATTGTTTTTGTTGCTCTTGTTGTAATTTTAAGGTTTATAGCTTAGCGCTGCCCTTCTTCGGCTGAAACGCTTTAGTGATTTGTTGAAATGCAAAAAATGTGTATTTGTAGTAATAATATCTAAAATCAGATGCCTTCAAGCTCTACATTGGATCGCATTGTTGCATGTTAGAAGGTACAGTCAAAGTCTGAAAAGGTGTTATATATCAAAGAGAATTTTTTTTGTAGATATCTGATAATTTTTTATTGGGAATTTTTGCCAGTGCTGTAAATGTAAAATTAAAAAGCTTCAGACACTTCATTAACCTCATCAACTTTGTTCATACCGCAGGAGCTCTATCCTAGTCAGCAGAAATCTAATTCCCTTTATTAGTTGTATTCGATTCACCAGACCTTATAGAGTGTCGAATCGAACAAACAACTGGTATAAATACAAAATATAGTAGTTACACCACTGTCTTGAGCTATTTAATTGGATCACTTATTTGTTGCTTTCACTTTTGTATTTTTGAACAAGAGCGCAGCTGTCAAACATATTGAACAGAGAAGTAGCGAGTCTATAGTTATAATTTTTAAAGGAAATTACTTGCAGATAATATTACAGATTGCCTATAACATATATTTTTGAACTTATTTAGTCGACTTTGTATAAGAGAGCAAACAGCAATTAATTGAGAGTTAAAGTGAGCGATCTCTCTGGAGAAACGAAAATAGTCTGAATTAGAACTCTGTCTCCTAAATAATAGCTAACTAAAGCCCGTCGGCTGCTGTTGAAACTGCCATCTATCTATGTTTCCAGTTATACTGAAGAAATTAGGATATCGATTCGATCTGTTGATGCTGCATATAACCATTATATGAGAAGTGTGTGCACGATAAAACTCTACCTTCACAATTTCTCCGACAGTATAATACATGTAGTTGGAACGGACTTGCCTTTTATATTGGTCAAGGAGTATTATTTTCTCAACGTTTCTCAAAATTTTGTAAAGAAATTTTTTGATACTACAATAATCAAAAGAAGAAAAAATTTGATACCACTCTTTAGTGGATTTTGTTAAAATTTCAAAAATATTTATATAAATTAGTAAACGGGTTGGGTCCTTGAAATTTATTATAAAAGCCTTTCCATTTGAAATTGTGCTGTTTTATAGAAAGGTATTCTTAGATATATTTATCAGATTCTGAAGCTTACTAAGTTCTTCTTATTAAAAGGTACCTACGTATGTAAAATAGTCTTGAAACTCGCTACCCAAAATTGAGAATGTGGTATGACTATAGGAAAATAAACCAGGGTCTATTTTATATACCTTATCCCTACTAGGATTGATTGTTATAGCCCATTTTTTAATTTCACTTTTAACTAGAAATAAAAATCAATAAAACTAATTTTCAGCTAAAAAGGTAGGCAATGACTATTAATTCTATGAAAAGGGTCTTTAAACTTCTGCCTTTTAGATTTGGTTGTTATCTTTTAGGCATTGGAAACTAAGTACTTGTATGAAAAACTGCAATTGTAATTATGAATCTATAATTTATTGGTTTTTGTATTAAAACAAACATTTTCTTGTTTTTGTTTTTGAAGAATTTTTAAAAACAAAATGTTTAGCCCATTTCCAATAAAAAAATTAATATTTTAACATTCATTTTCTGAGACACTCACCTTCGGTATAATATCGTGTGCGTAAATATTATCGCGTGGCGGCAATTTCGGCGGCTTTTCACTGCGTTTATGAGCCAATTGTTGTGTCTGCAATAGCAGCTGTTCACGTGTGGCGGCCACATGTCCGGCGACAGCGGTGCCACCGTTCATACCAGCGCCGTTCATAGTATGCATACCCATACCAGCGGCGGTTTGCTGTTGCTGTTGTGAATGATGGCTGCTGCCAGCACCAAAACCAGAGCTGCCCGAACTGCCGCCGCTGCCATTGCCGGCCACGCTGTACGGATCCTCGTCGGGTATGGGGATTCTAGGGCGATTCTTAATGTCCACAATGGGGCGTTGCACTGTCGGAGGAGAGAAAGAGAGAGAGAGTTAAAATTAGCATAAGCTGTCGTATGAAAAATAAAAATTAAGAAATGTGTAATGTTAGAATGCATAAATCAATTATTGCTGTCAATTGTTTGCATAGGCATAATTTAACTATTTTTTTTGTTTGTTTTTGCATGGAGAAAAATATGCAAATTTTGGCTTTGTGACTAGCAGTGTATTGTCTATGCTAAAATGCGTTGACATGCGTTCTATGCGTAGATATTGCAGCGATACACACACACAAACATCTATATATAGATGCATATATATATGTATATAGAAGTATATATATTTTTGATTTATGCGCCAAACGCTTTGAGACAATAGCACCGCGGTGCGTACGGCTGCTGTGCATGCGCACTTTTATTGCCGCCCTTTATCGCGGCACGAACCGAACACAGACCAAAACGCTGACACTTTGACATTTAAAAAGCGAAATGAAAATGTTGCCGGTTGGCATTTGAAATTTACCGCAAAATTTACCTATGCATTCCTGCATATGCTCATATATATTCACAGATGTGTGTGTGCGCAAAAGCGAAAGGCCAACAACAACAGTGGCTGCAGCTGCAACAACAACAAGCGCCACTAAGCTCATGTGAGCGCTGGTTGGTGTCAACCTTGAACTGCTTGTCGAGCGAATGGGGAGTGCGGCGCCAGCGAAGTTCAAAATAGAAGAATGAAAACTAAAAAAATCACATACAAAGTTGCATAAAGTTGTTTGTTTGTATGTATTTACATTCATATATGTATCTCTCAGTTATTACTGCATCTGTGCAGTTTCGTGTTGGCAGCGTAAAAATGAGATCTTCGTGCGGATGCCTGAGATCCATGCCTGCACTTTCAACCTCAGCTTAATGCAATTACAACAACAACGTAGAACAAGTATTAAAATAAAGTCGCTCTGATGCTAAAGCGCAAGCGCCCAACCTAATAAATTACTAATGCAGCAGCAACAAATGAATTCGCTTGGCTTAATCCACTGCGCCAATGGTTGGCCATCATAGCCAAGCTGGCAAAATGCATGTGTGTATGTTGATATATGCACGTTAAAGTGTGAATGTGTAGCCGATTATTTGTTATATTAGCATATATTAATAAAATAATTCCCATTTATTTTTAGTATTATTATTTGTAATTTAATTTTTTTGTCTTTGCTCTCCTCCTCGTCTCTGAGCACTTACCTGGTGGCAATTTGCTCTTTAGCATATCCATTGCGACCACGTTGACAATGAGCACCCAAACGGGACAATCCAATATATCGTTTTCCGATTTGACAAAAGCCACAACGGACAGGCATTGTGTCTCGAGGCGTCGTCGATCGGGATAAGCACGACGAAGTTCACGATTTACATTCGATTGGAATTTTTTCATATCGAATAACTGCAAGAGTGGAAAATTGTAGAATGAATTATTACAAATTTGTATATAAATAAAACAAAAGGCAAATAAAATAATGAAAGAAAAAATAAATAAATGAAAAATAAAATAAAAACCAATTATAATTAAACTTAATAGTTAATAAAATCCTAAACCAAAACTGCAAGTGCAACTCTCACAAGTACGTTTTTCCATAATTTCCCTAAAAACAATTAAAATATATATAAAATAAATAAAAAAAAAATAAATTTTTTTAATAAAGTACTCGTCAAAAATGTTGCCAGAATTGATACCCAATCAAATATTATGTTTTTATTGTAATAACCAAATAGCGTAAAAATTGTAATTTTCATTTGGTTTTCATTAAAATTATGTATTTTCATAATTTCTATATTATTTTTATACTTTTCGTTAAAAATATTTCTTTAAAATTACCTTATATTTTTAGTACAACTACTTTTCCTTTTAAAAATTCTGAGTAAGAAACTTATTTTAAATAAATATTTTTTCGTATAGTCTTAAATTTGTGGTATAAATACAAAAACGCATCTAATTAATGACAACTAGAATTTTTTGTAAAAATTTATTTGATAAAAGTTCTTCTTTTGTAAAAAAATTTGTTTCATTAAAATTTTTATTCTTATAATTTTTTTTCAAAAGTTTGGTTCATTAAAATAAAATTTTTAAAGTGATGTTTATTAATAGGAACTAATTTGTGTATATATATTTTATAATTATTTCGTAGAAAAATTTCAGAAAAATTACCTTCTCACTTTGCTACTACTACTTATTTTATTAATAGAAAATAACTTATTTCTTATGATAGTTTTATTAAAAGTAGTTTTTATTTTTTCAATAAATCTTAATATTGTGATAAAAATTCTTCCAATAAAAACTAAATTTTTTTCCTAAAACAACTATTTGGTAAAAATTTGTCTTTAATAAAAAATTTTAATTAATATATTATTTTTTTTTATAAATGTGTTTCTTTCATAAAAAATGTTCATTAAAATTTGATTTTTTGATAAAAATTTTTCTTTTGTAAAATATGTTCAATAAATTTTATTTTTTTAATAAAACTGTTGTTTCTTTAAACATTTTTCGATATTTTTTATTTCGTTAAAAAATCTTCTTTCGTAAAAAATGTTCATTAAATTTGGTTTTTGTAAAAATTTAGGTTATCAAAAAATTTGTTAAAAATCGTTCAGACTCAATTTTGTAAACGTATATTCTTTAATTGTAAAAAATAAATTCTTACAAGAGGATATTCAAAGAAAATCGGTTTTAATTAAGTAAAGTGTTGCCACCTGCTGTTGTACTTCGTTCAGTTACGTATTGCTCATGAATTTCAAGAAGGAAAAATAAGAATTCAACCAAAATGTATTTATGTACATTTTTTTCCAATTTTCGAAATTGAGAATGAAATTAAAATTTACTTATAAGAAAGAATCGAAAATGTTTCTGATCAATCAAATTTAGATTGATCACAACTTAAAACTATTTTATTCCTATAAGCCTAAGAACCAATATATAGTTTTTGATCTCTCACTCAACGAGCAATTACTTATCGAACACCTCTCAATTCTTGAGCCCAAATTGTAAGAATCAATTAATAAATCGTAAATGAGCGCGAACGCACGCAAAGTCCTAGATTTGGTACAACGCAGGCCATGTCCACAACAATAGTGCGTTAATTCTAATATCTATTGCTGGCCATTCATTTTCACGCTCTCCCAAATACATACCAGATTATGTAAACAAATAGCGTTTTGTAACGAAATTCCGAAAATCATTTAGCCCATGGAATCTACAAAAATATCTCTGTTCTTTGCTATTTTATCGACAGACATTGTTCGCGTTTATTATCTGGTTAAGTATGGCCTGCGCATTATGTGGACACAAATGGTTGAATAAATATCAAAGTCACAGAGATTTGCCTTAATGGACATAACTTTCGCTATTGTGCATATTTGCGATCAAATGTAATCGATTAATCTCACTGAGATGTTTTGTTTTGATTTTATTTATTTTATTTATTTTCTATTTATTCTCTTACATGTACAACATAATTACGACTTTCGTGAGTCACGCGCACTTTTTCAAGCAAATTCAAAAATATTTTATTTTCTCAATTTATTTTCTAACTACCCATTGATTAATGTTCTTTGTGGTAGCACAATTGTGTCATTAATTTCTGCCAACTACTTTGACCTAAAGACATTTTTATGCTACAATTGCTGATTGGATGTCATTTTTGTTTTTATTACGTTAGAGTGAAATCATAATGCGCGAATTAAGGGGCGTGTTGTGATATTAGTCTTCACTTCGATACATTAACTACTATACATCCATCAGATGGTTTCCTGT